ATTATATCTCCTGATGCCTATCTTATAATACTTAATAATAATAAATAAACCATAAACAAAAGAAATAATAAACAATAAAAAGAAAGAAATAAATTAAATTATTAGAATCTATCTAAGCCCCGAATAATACGTCACGAGGAATCGTGACATTAGCAAAAATTATTATATTCGTGAAAAATATTTAAATTACACTGTTTTCTTGGTTTGTCAGTAAAAATTAAAAAATTAAAATGTTTTCATTACTTCGAACATTGAAGAAAAACGAGCCATCAGCAATTTTATGGCTTCGACGCGTTGCCATTATATTTATGATATTTTTACTGATATTCTTCTTTGTGGTACTATGCATTGATGTGTATAATGATTTGTCTACAATAAAAAGTACTATGCAAGTAGCTGATACAGTGCCCTCCCCAAGTAAATTTTATTTTGAATTATAAACTTTTATAATTAGATACTGTATTAATATTTGTTTTATAGTTTTTAAGATAGCTTCTAATAGAAGCTTTGAATTATCATGCGTTATTATGAATTTGGACCAATGTAAGAAGTTTTCTTAATAAAATAAAAAACAATTAATTCATTATAAATAAATTATATATTTAACTAATTAAGAATATCAAAGCTTGCAATAGATTTATTACACTATCGAATGGAGGATATTTAGGAACATTTCAATCAGATAAAACCTTCATATATAAGTCTTCTTCATATAAGCATTGGTATATGAGGCTTACTGTGATGCTCACGAATAGCTCAGAAGTAATAAATTTTACTATGGGGTTTTCAGCGTATGATTTCGGTATGTATTCTTATAATAGAATAAAAGATTAATGCATAAATTGCTTAAAATTTAAAAATATTCATAATTATAATCATATAGAAACCGATTTCAAAAGTAATGATACGTTTCTTAATTCACTTGGAATACAGAATGTTTATTATCTATCTGCAAACCTTGTATGTTTTCTTGGAAAAATCATTTTAAAATGAATCTATGAGTTGTATTTGTGTATTACTGTATTAAAAAAAATGATTAAATGAAAAAAAAATAAAATTAATAGAATTATGCATTCGGATTTAGTAGAAAAATAAGATATCGACCAGTTCAATCAATTTCAAGCAATGTTAAGGCTTATCTTGGTTTCCAACCAGACTATTATGAAATACCTTATATCACATCAGACATGCGTATGAAAATTATTTTTAAAAGTTTACATCTTATTATTATTATTTTATCATGTTTAATTTATTTTCTTAAATTTAAAAAGAGGTTGTCACATTTCCAAATCAGTCAAGCCAAATTTATTCATTTATAGATGTTCGTTTACGAACTCCTATTGTAGAAGTAGAAACAGAACAAAGGTAAAAATCATGTATACAGTCGACTCTGGATATAACGAACCTTTTTATAACGAACTTTTTTTAGCAAATTTATTATAGAGTTCGGTATAAAAACATAGTAAATTCTCTATAAGGAACATTTTAAAAATTTTTACATATAGACACTCAGGGTTCGTTATATGCAGAGTGTATTCTTTTTTTCGATCGTTATAATAATTTTATTAATAGTTTGTAATACTTTTGATAATTAATCTACAATTTTTAATGACAGAACTAAAACTGTAATATTAACAAATCTTTAACAAATCTTTTCATTAATATTTTTTAAATATATAAAGCATAATTGTAAATTGTTATTTGAATTTATTAGGTTACATCTTTGCTAGGAATTATTGCTGGTATTTATGGTGCTTTGGTGGGATTTTACGTAATATTATTTGGTAAGTTACGCGATAATTTTTTTTTAAATCAAATTATAGTAATATCTTACAATTTTAAACTGAACTTTAAGGTGATCTCATAATTGAACCACGGGGCCTTGTGCAAGGTTTGTTTAAGAATCGAATGAAAAAGAATCTTTTACCATATATATCTGGTACAAAAGATGTAGAAGGATATGATGAAATAAGAACTCAAGAAGGTGAAGATTTTGAAAAACTTTTACTACAACAAAGAGTTGAAGATTTAGAAAAATTTAAATCTTACCTTGAAGACTTTGTTGTTGGTACTTCATTATTGGATTTTATTAAAGGAGAATTATTATCAGCATCAAAAGAATAGTGAAGATAAAAAAATAAACCCACAATAATACTTTAGTATAATTAAATAAGATAAAATAGCCTGATAGCATGTTGAACATCAAAAATGTTAAAGAACTCTTGTATTTTCATAACAAATTGTTAAATATTATGTCTTCAATATTTAGCCAGCTAAGCCGGCGTAGCCCATTTCTATAAAATTAGCTTAGTTAGTTGATAAACTCGGCTTGACCACTACCCTTAGTTGATTCAGGATTAGTCAACTTAGTCGACTTAGCGACTAAGATGATCCGATTTTTTTTAAATTCGGCGTAGTTGTCTGGCTCACCCGAATACCATGAGACTCTCAAAGTCGTCAATACTAAATAACATTTAACCTTTTACAGAAATGCAGGTTATTATTTCAGTGTCAACCAAAACATGATTAAAGCAGGTATAGCGAATCTTTTACAGAAATATATGCATTTTTACCGGTATGGATCTCAACTGAGATGTATTTTAATCTGAAATTGCAGGTTGTAATCACTAGTAACTAGCACACAATTAACGTGGAGGTTAAACATGAATAGTACAATGTTTCAGTCAACAATAAAATCATATTCCGTCACTTATAACCATGACTCAGGGCGCTCTCAAGCATCAATCGAGATGCGATTTCATAGTGATCTGAATAGTGCACAAGTATTATAACGTATTTCTAGCTAGCATTTTGGATAAAATTCAATAATACGAATGATGATATTATTGAATTTTATTGGGATATCTCAATCCCAAGTTGAGAGGATTCTAAATAGTTTATCGGAAATTTTACAAAAAGTAGGCGTCAATAATGAAAATCCATAATGAAAGCATAATAGAAGTATGAAAATACTTGAACAATAATTATTCTTCTTAATATTTATAAAGTTTTGATAAGTCAGGGGGAAAGGTGGTTAGGGACAAAAAGTTTTTTGACTGAAATGACAAACTCACTTATCTTTTTTTACTAAAAAATTTTTTTCACGCAATAAATTACCTTACACATCTTAATGAAAAGCTCGGTTGATTGATCAAAATAACTTTCCGTTAATTAAAATTTAATCCCAGTCACATTTTTGACATACTTTGGTCCATTAATTAAGACGCTTGACAACATCCTTATAATCGCAATAACAACAGTAATAGCTAAAAATCCGAACAGCCCAAAGATAATAATAACAATAGAGATTTAAAAAAATACTAGGAACCGGAAACCGGTATAAGTCTGGAGCTCGCTTAAGCCCCTGAAAAGTCTTGTTATGTACGTATGTAAATCAAATTTTTCAGGGGTGTTACATCCGGAAAATACCAAAACTACGTTTTTAATATTTTTACTATAAATTATCAAAAACGTAATTTTGGTC